TTTTTAGAATAATAAAAAAAACATAAGAACCAAAAAAACATTTTTTAGTTTCATTATTTGCGGTTCAATCGCAGACGGGGTTAGTTGCTTGTTTTACTTATTTGCCATCCAATTGCAGACAGGTAAAAGAATATTTTTGGAGAGCCTTCTCCTAACACACTAATATCCACACAGACCGGTTTTTGAAAGCTAGAAAAGCCCACCTAAATCTTCATGATCCAGGTTCAAGCTTAAGTTATTATCATTAATACATTATTATTTGATTATAAGCATCCACCAAGGGAATAAACTCTGATTTCCTGTAGTTGTTTCAAATATAACAAATATAAAAGATTAAAATCATTAATACATTTATTTCAATAGAATACTCAATACTCTGAAGCCAAGAGGTCAGGCATAGTTTCGATCTAGAACGGTCAGGCTGATTGGTCCTTCATTTTCAATCCTTCCAACCACGTCTATTATACATGCATCCAGGTGAAAACATGCGAAGCATCATCCTCTTGGAATCCACAAATTGATCATCTCAACAAGTAATTTTCAGTAGTCGGTTTACAGATTATAAAGTCATAACTTCTTTTTTCCTTCGCACTTATCTTTGCAGTGGTTGCACAACGGTACCGCTCATCACCTACAAAAGTTAGCAAGTCAACTGAATGCACAAGATCAGTACACACTGCTCAGTGTTAATGACAGCTTGAACAATAGTGGCATACAAATTCTGTAAATATGTGCTACCTTGTAACCAGTTGGCTACTTATATTAGGAGTAACGACTCATATTTGAATGTGGAACTATTCTTTTCTAAGAAATATGTGTAAAATGAAGCACTTGAATGACAAGTTAACCCTTAGAACACTAATCCTGGGATTCTTGGCATGCAATGTCAACATTTCATCCAAGTTTTTTACTTTGAGAGGACAAAGCTTAAAACAATGATTTGCTCTGGAGCAGCATTTAACAGATTTGAAGAGCCTACCATGGATTGGTCTCTATAAATAAAATAAAAAGGAAAGCATGGAAGGGCTCAAAAGCAAATACGTTCACAGGCAAATTCATAATAAATGTAGTTACTCCCATATATCTAAGTTGATATCTAAGTTGAAGAGACAGGCAGATACTCCCATGTCCACAAAGAGGTGAATCCTAAAAGCTGGATAAATAAATGCAAATATGACACCTCGTTTGATTTAAAAGGAAGCTGAACATAGAAGAATATAAAGAAATCTCACCACATTGCTCACACTGGTCGAAATTCACCAGATGAGACATTCCCTTGGTGGCGATTTTAGCCTAATAAATCGAAATGAAATTACGTAATTGAAATGGGTAATCCTTCACCTTTCCAGTATGGTTCAATTCGACCCCAAATCTTTTGACTGTGACTATTAAATCTCTATGGTATACTCTCAAACTTCAAAAATCAGAAGATAACTGGATCATTTTCATTACAAATCCACAATCGCGTTTCAAATTTTCTTGATGAACGAAAAAAAATTCAAAAGTGAGATAATACAGAGAATCGACATTAAAATTGAATCCACATGAAAACAACCAAAACAAACAGCAATCACAAATCGGCATCTCAGAACAAACAACCAACAAAAACAAACAAGAAAGAATCTGGAATTACACTGCAACAAAAAAAAAAAAAAAAAGAACCTTTCCGTTTCCTTTGCGGTTTCAATCAATCATAACAAAAGGTATTGAAAAATCAAAACTAAGAATCGGAGGACCAAACCGATTTAAGCAGCAGGGATCATCATGAGGTGAAGTAGAAGATCGGGTGGAGAATAAGGTGGAGGAACATAAAGCAGGCGCAGGAGATGGAGAAGAACACCACGCGGTAGACAATCCTCAGTGCCATTTCTGAGATCAGAGCTTGAAGAAGGGTGAGACTGGACAAAGGAGTAAGGAGCATTTCTCTTCATATTTCAGTTTTTTTTTTTAGAAGAAAATTTTTGTGGGCTTAGTTTGCCTTGGGCCTTATTAGTTGTTAGACTAGACCGACCTAGAATGGGTTTTGAATTTGGACTATTGATTTATGTTTTGAACTTAGGTTCCCTACTTTCCTTTACCTAGGCTTAATTTCTTAATGGGTTTTAGGCCTAAATTTCTTAATGGGTTTAATAAGTAGTTTCATGGGCTCAGACTTTAACGGTAGATCACAAAAAATCAAATTTTCTTTAACTTATGCTAAGTTGATTAAATAAAGTATTAGCAAGCTGGATATACCTTAGGAATGCCTGAGAGAAACATTCATATGAACTTTCATGCTTAATGGCACTACTACAAAAATAGTTTTCCAATACCACATATTTGACACTGCACTCAAATAATATTAAATAAAAAGTTTTGGATATTATACTGTAGTCTTAAAATTTATTTGATAAAAATATCACATTTTGGCGATATATTTGATACTGTTATTATTTG